TGGGAGCGCGGCCTCGGTTTTCCTTCTTTCAAAAGTCATCTTCCAGGGCTTGTGTTTTTTTTGAGACGGAATCTTGCTGTGTCGCCCAGGCTGGAGTGCAATGGTGGGATTTCGGCTCTCTGCAGCCTCCGCATGCCTCGGCCTCCGAGTGGCTGGCATGACAGGCACCCACCACCACGCCTGGCTGGTTTTTGCATTTGTAGTAGAGACGGGTTTCACCAAGTTGGCCAGGCTGGTCTCGTACTCCTGATCTCAAGGGATCAGCCGGCTTTGGCCTCCCAACGCGCTGGGATTGCAGGGGTGAGCCACCGTGCCTGGCATCTTCTAGGGGTTTTGAACTCAACAGCCACGTTCTAGAAAAAAGGACAAAGTCAAAGGCCCAGAGACCGTCAAGCCCAGTCAGGGCAGAGGAGCCATGGGACCCCAGCACAGCTGGAACAGGAAGGCCACGACCAGACCAGGAGGCATCCGGGCGCACGTGTGTGGCCCCCCCACCCGCAGTCCTAGCACCTGCCCCGTCCCGCTGCCCACTGTGGTCTGTGACCCACAGCCACCGCCTTGTCCTTCAAGAGCTGCAGAAGCCGGCGCGTCGGGAGGCAGCAGGGCAGCGTGAGCCCAGTAGTTCCAGACCAGCCTGGGCCACACACCAACACGGTCCCTGCTTAAAACAGTTTTTTGAAGAGGGAATAGAAGATCGTGGAGTCAGAGCAGGTGCCCTTTTGAGGTGGGATTTTATCATCAGCCAAGGCCCTTCGAGTTGTGCCAGTCACCACAGATGGACGTGGTCTCCTTTTGGGTATTTGCTCTTGGAGATGGAGTCTTGCTCTGAGCCCCAGACTGGAGGGCGGCGGCACCATCTCAGTTCACCCCAACCTCCGCCTCCTGGTTCCAGTGATTCTCCTGCCCCAGCCTCCCTCGTCGCCGTGATTACAGACGCGTGTCACCGTGCCTGGCTAATTTTTTTATTTTTAGTGGAGACATGGCTTCATCATGTTGGCCAGGCTGGTCTCAAACTCCTGACTTCAAGTCTTCCGCCCGCCTCAGCCTCTCAAAGTGCTGGGAATCCAGGTGTGAGCCACCGTGCCCAGCAGGGTGCTGGCTTCTTGAGGGTGCCCGCTCGCAGGGTGTCCGCACGGGGTGGGCTCCCACCCACCTGTGGGGGTGGTGTCCTGTGGAGTTTGGACCTACTGCAAATGAAGCTGCTGGTGAGGGTGTGAATGGCCCAGAATGCCACTGCTGCCCCACACGGCGTGCATGAGGGACCAGTCGTCGCCGTTTAGATTCCAGACAGGCGTGCGGCGTCTCCTCGTGCTCGTAATTCACGGCCGACCAGCAAACATTTGACGGTGTATTTACAAAGGCGTGTGTTCTGACTCCTTTGCAGACACTTTCAATCAACAGAATCTTCCCCACTAAGTCACTGACGCCATCCAAACCGGTTAAACCTATAGTTTATTCCCGAAACTCTCGGAGGGTAACTACCGAGCATAAATACTTTCCTCATTGAACGGTGATGATTCTGCGGCTAAGCCAGCCCCCTCCCATTACCAACGCTGAGCCGGGCAGGGCGGCTCACGCCCGTGGTCCCAGTGACGTGGGAGGGGAGGCGGGAAGGTCCTTGAGCCCGGGAGCTAAGACAGCACCACTGCATTCCTGCCTGGGTGACAGAGAGAGTCCTCATATCAAAAAACGCCCCCACAAAATCCCCACACACTGCAAACATAAAACGGGTTCTATTTCAACACAAAAAATATGACTGTGCAACTTTTGAGTTCCCCAACCCTTCCCACGCTGGATTTGCAATCTCCAGGGAGGAAAGGGCTGCCTTTCAGAAACTCCAACACCCCAGTTGGCACAGGTGGGGTCCCTGGTGCCATCTGCAGGCGCTTGCCTCCCCCATGTAACCCGAGTGTGGGACCCAGCCTGTGTGGCCTGTACGGTGGTAAACGTAGTTTCTGACTTAGTCTACAGATATATCACAGGTGTCCTTCTTCCCCCACGAGGCCTAGTGGAATCTCCCACCCTTTCATGTTCTCAGCAAATGCACAGCCTGTGGGGTGACTCAGGATACTCCAGGGGTGTCTCCAGTGGCTGCCTCCCCCTCCCCCAGAGGGAGGACCAGCTATTCCACTGCCCACCTTACAGAAGAGGGAGTGTCTGGTGCTCAGGCAGCTGGTGCCAGGTTGGCACAGGCCGGCAGGGCTCTGCTCCCACAGAGCAGGTGGGTGCTGGTTGGGCCCTGCAGCCCCAGCCCGCGGCACACGCACATGCGCTGATCGGCTTCCCGCGGCCCCAGGGCTCTGCCCTCTCACCCCGACAGGGGCCCACATGCAGAGAGATGCAGACCCCCGTGACCCGGCAAGGGTGGGGATGCCCACACACCAAGCTCCGGCATGAGGACAGGTCTCCCAGAACACAGCCTCAGGCCAAGCCGAGGGGCGGGGACTTGACTCGTGGAACAGGCAGCTCCCACACCTAACGCCCCTGGACACGCCAGGGAATGCTGGCCTTCAGGAAAGTCGAGGAAGTGGACGCCAGGCATGGTGGCTCACGCCTGTAATCCCAGCACTTTGGGAGGCCAGGCAGGAGGATTGCTTGAGCCCAGGAGTCTGAGACCAGCCTGGACAAAATAGTGAGGACCCCCCCAACCGTCTCCACACGCACACACAATGTGGCAGGCGTGGTGGCACGCAGGCGTGGTGGCACACACCCGGGGCCCAGCTACTCTGGAGGCCGACGGAGGCTCCTTGCGCCCCGGAGGTCCAGGCTGCAGTGAGCCACGACCACTGCACTGCAGGCTGGGCCATGGCATGAGATCCCAAACACAAAAAACAAACAAAAAGTGGAAGCTCAGGCTCAGCTCCACGATGAGCTGCCGCAGACAGACTGGACTCCGAGGGGGACGGTGCCTGTCCTCCCAGTGGTCCCCAAAGTCGCCCAGGCCCGTGCCTCTCGACGGGGCGACACATAAGCGGTCCGCCCGTGGGCGCGTGGCCGGAAACCCTGCAGCTGCCAGGGAAGCCTCAGTGCTGGGGGCCACAGCCTGGGGCTCCGGTGGCATCAGCTCCAGCGCCGAGGCCCCGAGGGCACCCGGATGGCCCCTCAGGCGAACACTGTCCCTCTGAAGACACCAGCGTGGCTTCCCCACCTGTCCCCAGCCTCTCGTTTAGAAAACATCCTCATGCTGTTTAGACGGGAGCTTTATTTCCACTGAACTCGGGCATTTAAAGTTGGCGGAAGCTCCAAACGGGGCGAGCCCAGGGCGCATGCAGGGCGGGCCTAGGGGCCCCGGGAGCTACCAGGAGCCGAGGGGGCTGGAGGGGCCTGGGGGGCCCCGGGAGCTACCAGGAGCCGAGGGGGCTGGAGGGGCCTGGGGGGCCCGGGGAGCTACCAGGAGCCGAGGGGGCTGG